TTTATTTTTATTATTCTACTGTTTTATTTTTATTATTTTATTTTATTTTTATTATTTTATTATGAGTTTCTTATTATTTTACTACAGATTTTAGGCAGGTAGAGTCAAGTCTTTGTACTTGCAGCTGTGAGAATAAAAAGAAGCCTTTAGTTGTCCAAATAACCAAAAAACCCTGTAAATTTTAACTGAAACCTTGATGTGTTTGATTATAAACATATGATATGTGTAAAATTTGTTTGCATATCTTTCAGTTCCCAGATCTGTTGGTGAAAACATTAATGTATTGTGAATATTTTGGTGGATTTCAGTTTAAATCTGTTGCCAGAGTTGTTGAAAACAATTGAAGAATTTGTATCCCTGATTGGCAATTGTCAATTATTCCATTTTTTGGGAAACAGGTGATACTGAACCCAAAGCCTAACGAATAAAGGGGTTAATTAAACAAAGTGAATACAAAATACTCGGCTGGGTTCAGACCTGGAATTCTCACTAACAGCTGGGATTTGTTTGGATAATGCTCCAAACTCTTTAACTGATCCCATTTTCCAGCTCTTTCTGTCCTATTTCTTCCCTTATCCCATTCACCCTTCACTGTGTTGAAAAAAAAATAAAATTCCTTGGATTAAAATTCCGCCAAAACCACCTGGAGGCAGAAAAGCACAGTGGGTTTCTCACCCACACACAGGAGTTCCAGAAGGTTCTTGGTGTGCAAACATTGCCCCGAGTGCCTGAACTTTGTGAAATTGTGATAAATATCTTCTGCTGGGAGACCTGCTGAGCTCTGAAAGGCTGTTCATGCATAAAATCAGAGATCCTGCCTCTGCCTTATCCTTCAGACACTGAAATCTCGGAAGAAAATGAGACTTTTCTGCCTTTTAAAAATGAATATTAATAGTACAAAATCTAGTTTATAGCTCAGGACTTCCCAAGTGCAAGAGAAATATTGAAATATTTAAGGCAACAACATCAAAATTCAAATTTGCTTCAAACAAAGTGTGTGGGATCAGAACACCTGGGTTTAGTCAGTAGAAAAATGGGGTTTTTGTACTTGGGTTTCCTGGATAAATTGCTTGGTGGAGGAGTGCTGGAAGCAGCATCTCCGAAGATTTAACTGTTAAAAGGTCTGGTTAATCTGTGTTGAGGAATTTTCTTCGTTTTCTAAACTAAAAACTAAAGAGTTTGCATGAGAATTAAGGAAAAACCACAGGGCACAAAGCTGAAAGTATTTTTATTGTCTTAGAAATTATAGGAACAAAAGGGGCAGCCTGGGCTTGTGCACCTGAAGATTTAAACCTTTTCCAAATTCAAGTTTATCACTTGAGCTTTGGAATGAGAGCAGCTTGTTTTGCTCATTTCCTGAGAGTTTATGCAGCATTTTGACTTTCTCTGTGGATACAAAATGCTGTCTGAATACTTCTTTCCTTGTTACTCCTCAGAACAAATCCCACCTTTATCTCCTTTTCTTTTAAATTGTCATTATACAGTTCCAAAGGAACGCTTAATAGCAGGTTATCCTCAAATGGACTGAAAAACATCACAAAACGACAGGCTCTGCATTCCAACCACTCTGAGCATTTTAGTGAATTTAACAGCTTCACTGCCTAACAAGCAGAAGGCTGAAATAATTTTATGTTGTGTGAAAAGCTCCCAAAGCTTTGTGCACAGCACAGCTCGTGCTGAAGGGACAGGTGGGTGAAAAGTGATTTTTTCCCTGAGTTTTTAATTGCTCGCAGTCTGGAGCTGAGGTGTTGAATTTCAATGAGCAGCAATACCTGGCTCCTGTTAAATTTTAAACCTTCATTTGGAATGTGAACTTTATGGGGTGGATGATCAGGAAGAGGTCTAAGGTCCATTCGAGCTGTCCCAAAGGGAGTTTGCACGTGCTGTTCCCAGCACTGCCGGCCTGGCACAGCCTGGGAATTCTCCTTGGGTAAGTTTGGTTCCATCTGCTCCATCTGAGCTGAAATGGGAAGGGTGGGTGAGAGGGTTTTCTATGCAGAAACAAGAAATGAGAGAAATAATCCCTGCAGTGCTTCTGATCAAAAGGGGGAATTCCTTTGGCAGAGGAGGGTAAATGTGGTTCCCCCTCCCAGTCCACTGGGCCACAGTGAAGCTCAGAAGTGCAAGAAAAATGTTTATTTGCTTTAGGAATGTGTTGTTCTCACCCAGCTGTTGATTTACAGCTGGGAGCCAACACAGAATTCTCCTTCCCTTATTGCAGGAGTTTTGTACTTTCCCAAACCCAGCCTCAGAGGCTGATTTCTATATTGGTTTTTCAAGGATTTTTATAACTATTGATCACTAATTTCACTTTTCTGAAAGCTTCAGCCTGCTCTCCTCTCTCTCATGACTGTAACAGTGTTCTGGGGAGGCACAAAGAGTGGGCAGTGCCAGGTGATGTCGCCCAAATGCCAAATGTGTCCCCAAGCCAGGTGCTGTGCTCTCAGAAAGGTCATTTTCAATAAGGTGGAGCACTTGATGGCCTCAGAGAAGCAGCTGGTCAAAATCAAGGTGGTTGGGGAAAAAAATTAAATTAAATTTAGATTAATTGGCCTTTTATTCCTTGCAGAAACTGCAAATTCTTTGGCAAAAACAGAGGGAGAAGAGAAAACCTGTCCCTTTATTTGTTTTAATTATCAAGTACATTTCATGGAAATGTGCTATTTGCAGTTTTGGTACCCAAAAGTTTCTCTCAAAATAGATGTTACTGGATAGAGTTGCTCTTTAGAATGAAAAGATGTAATTTGGTGGAGGTTTATTTTATCCCATATTTATATTTCTGGTATGTTTTATATGATGATTTCTATTTCTGCGTGCAGTGCAGCAGAGCTGTGACTGCGAGCACTGATACATAATTAAATTAGCTGGGTTTAACATTTCCATCGTGCCAGGAGAGAAATTCATCCCAGTCTGAGCTCGCAGACAAGTTTGTGCTGCTGCTTTGCCGTGATTTCAGAGGCAGCAGAGCAGGTGGGCTCTGGCCAGGAGCCTTCCCTGGAGCAGAACGAGCTGAGCAGGAGCCCTGAGGAGCCCCTGGAGCTGCCACAGGGGGATCCAGGAGAGCTCCACAGGATAAATGTGCAGGAAATTCAGTTTTCTCCCACAAAACGCCCATTTCAGAGGGGACAGTGACATCTTGTGGGCTCAGCTTGCAAGTCTGGCCAGAAATTCAGCGCTGGCCACTTCAAAAGTTGGTTTTTACTGCTCTTTTCTGCTTCTGCCCAGGACTGGGGAGGGTATAAACACCCAGCAGCTTGGTGTTGGAGTGTCTGCCTGTAAGAAGGGATGAGGTGCTGCCCAGCTGATGTCAAGGTCACTTTTATATTTCAGGAAGTTCTCAGGGAAGTGTCACACAGTGAGATTAAGAGACTCCAAACCCTCGTGCTAGTTGTGAATCAGATTTAAACTTAATGCCTGCTCTTGGTTCCTCCTTTCAACTCCAAATGTGGAGCGAGAACCTTGTGTTTTCCTCCCTCTGGATTTACAGCTGAGTGTTCCAGAGGTTATAAAGATGTTTTCTGTCATCTGGATTTAAAATTGAGTGTTCCAGAGGTCACAAAGATCTGTTTCCTCCATTTGGATTTACAGCTGAGTGTTCCAGATGTCACAAAGATGTTTTCTATGATCTGGATTTAAAGCCGAGTGTTCCAAAGGAGGTCAAATAGCTCTGTTTGTGTTTTCCTCTATCTGAATTTGAGTGTTCCAGAGGTCACAAAGATGTTTTCTGTGGTCTGGATTTACAGCTGAGGTTCCAGAGGAGTTCCCCAGCTCTGTCTGTGTTTTCCTTGATCTGAATTTAAAATTGAGTGTTCCAGATGTCACAAAGATCTTTTCAGTGATCTGGATTTACAGCTGAGTGTTCCAAAGGAGGTCAAACAGCTCTGTTTGTGTTTTCCTCTATCTGAATTTGAGTGTTCCAGAGGTCACAAAGAGGTTTTCTGTGATCTGGATTTACAGCTGAGTGTTCCAGAGGTCACAAAGATGTTTTCTGTGATCTGGATTTACAGTTCCAGAGGAGGTTCCCTTGCTCTGTCTGTGTTGTCCTTGATCTGGATTTAAAATTGAGTGTTCCAGAGGAGGTCAGACAGATCTGTTTTCTCTGATCTGGATTTAAGGTCCCAAAGCTGTTTTAAACTGGCTTTAAGATGAGTGTTTTACAGGAGCTTACTCACCTCTATCTGTGTTTTACTTGACCTAGATTTAAAGCTGAGTGTTCCAGAAGCCACAAAGATGTTTTCCTCCATCTGGATTTAAACTAAATGTTCCAAAGGAGGTCAGACAGATCTGTTTTCCTCAATCTGGATTTAAGCTGAGTGTTTTACAGGAGGTCAGATAGATCTGTTTTCTATGATCTGGATCTAAGCTGAGTGTTCCAGAGGTCCCAAAGGTGTTTTTTGAGATCTGGATTTAAACGGATTGTTCCAGAGGTCACAAAGATGTTTTTTGTGATCTGGATTTACAGCTGAGTGTTCCAGAGGAGGTCAGACAGATCTGTTTTCCTCAATCTGGATTGAAGCTGAGTGTTTTACAGGAGGTTACCCAGCTCTGTCCGTGTTTTCCTTAATCTGGATTTAAAATTGAGTGTTCCAGAGGTCACAAAGATGTTTTCCTCAATCTGAATTGAAGCCGAGTGTTTTAGAGGAGGTCAGACAGATCTGTTTTCTATGACCTGGATTTAAACTGAGTGTTCCAAAGGTCACAAAGATGTTTTTTGTGATCTGGATTGAAGCTGAGTGTTCCAAAGGAGGTCAGACAGATCTGTTTTCTATGATCTGGATTTAAACTGAATATTCCAGAGGTCACACAGATGTTTTCCTCAATCTGGACTGAAGCTGAGTGTTCCAAAGGAGGTCAGACAGATCTGTTTTCCTCAATCTGGATTGAAGCTGAGGGTTTTACAGGAGGTTACCCAGCTCTGTCTGTGTTTTCCTCAATCTGGGTGGAAGCTGGGTGTCCCCAGGAGGCTGCCCAGCTCTGAGTGTGCCCGTTCTGTGTTTCAGCAGCCAGCAGAGCAGCCAGCAGAGCAGCCACGACGATGACTCTGCGCGCTTCCTGAGCCCCTCCATGCGTGAGGACAGGTGAGTCTGTGCCTGCAGCACCAGTGGAACCTCACCTGCTGAGCTGCTTTCTCCTCCTGGTATTTCTCATGGCTGGTTAACAAAAAAATGGGGTTTAAATTGATTTTATCAATGTCTAAAAAGCTGCATTTTTCATCACTTTGAACGTGGGGCAATGAATCCAGCCAGAATTTCCATCTAAAAACCTGAATTTTTCATCACCTTGAACATGGGACAATGCATCCAGCCCCTGAAATAGCCAGAATTTTTTCTTTTGGGGCTCATTCCCCAAACTCCAGCTGCTGCAGCAGCTTCATCAGACGTGCTGTGTGCTGGCAACTAGCACTCTGATCCTTAAAAACCCACAAGTGGAATTTCCTGGGTGGATCCTGTCCTCAGCAAAGGCATTCTGAGCCTGGTTGTTTTGTTCACTTTTGATGTGTTGTGGCAATCCTGAACTCCAGATTTAAGCTGGGTTAATTTGTGTGCAGCACCTGGGTGAGAACTGCAGTGAAGTTCCAGAAGAAACTTTAATTTGGGCTGATTAATGTGAGTTTCAAATTGCAGCATTGGCACAAAAGCTGTTGAAAACTGATTTTTGGTGTTTATTTGGGTGCATGATTTATGGATTTTGCTTTGCTCAGAGCCACATGATGAGGAGTTTTGCTGCATCTTGTAGGTCAACTTTTGAGGCTGAATCTGCTGAGTTTTCTTGTGCTGGGCATGAGCTGTGAGCCCTGAGTTATCACTGATTTATTGTCCTTGCACTTCTCAGAGCCATCTAAGAAGAAATGTGATTTATGTTGGTTTTAGAAATGTTGGATGCATTTTCCATCAGCCTGAAAGTGGGAAAATGCATCCAGCCCCTCAAACAGCAGGAATTGACTCACTTGAGAGTGACCCTAAGGAGCCAATTAACATCTCATATTAAAATTCCATATCCCACCAGGGGTTTTGGCTCTGAATCAGCACTTGGGAGTTGTAGCTCACCTTCTCCTCCAATTACCCACCTCCCCATGGCTGTGGAGCCCAGACTAATTAACAAAACATCCCTAATTGACTGACAGGTGACTGTTTGCAGGCAGGAAATAGAGTGGGACAGCAGAGCAGGGAGGTTCTGAGGGCATCACCTCTGGGTGAGGTGAAATTCCATTTCAGCTGGAATTCCACAGGTGAAACAGGGTGAGGATTTGTTAAAACATTTCTGGGTGTAGCAGCAGGGAATCACTTGGAAGTGCTGCCTGCTTCAGATGGATTTCAAAGGGAGCATTTAGGATGGTGATAAGAATATTTTCCTGGCTGGAAGGGGCTGATCTCAAAACTATTTATGCAAAGCCAGAGCAATGCTGAGCCTGCTGACCTCTTGTATTTAGGACCAGCAATGTTCCTGCTGCCTAAATTTAATTACAATTAACTTCTATTTGCATGGATCCTAAAATTATCCATGTGAGGGATAGTAAATTATCTTTTCTACTGTTTTTTTTGGTCTCATTGCTGATGTAATTCCCTCAGCCTCCACTGGTACAGTCTTCCTTTGGACATTGGTGGTTTGTTCTCATGAAACTTCACCAAAAAGTAACTCAAACACACCTTTTAATGTAAGCTGGGCAGGAATTAGTGACAAGGCTGACAGAGCCTTTGAGAGCTTGCTGTCTGCTCTTATAAATAACACAGAAGAAGGTTGTTTCTGAGGCATCTGAGTCCTTTAGATCCCCCAGAAATTGAATGAGGAACATTTATTTTTGCTGCTTTTAGGTGGTATTTTTTTTCCTACCAGTAACAAAGGGTCCTCCAAGCACAGATTTGAAGCTCTGAGCTTCTGTTTTGAAGAACAGAACTCCGAGGCAGTTCTGGTCACTTGTCCATTGACAATTGTACACCAGGGCTTAAAAAACCCCCTAAAAACCCCAGAGCCAGGCAGGATTTCCTCAGAGCTGGAGGATGTGAGCAGAAGGGAGGGCAGGGAGCCAGGTGCTGTGCCCTGGGAGTGCACCTTGCCTTGGCACGCTGCCCTGGCATCCCAGAGGAGAGCAGGAGCAGGAGGAGCCCGGGATGCTCAGAGCAGGGAACCAGCACAGCTGGGAAATGCTGAAAGAAGCTGCCCCAGCCAAAAGCAGAGGGCTGCTGAGCTGATTCTGAGGTGGAAGAGGGAAGGACAAACAGCTGAGGATGGCTGGAGTCCTCCCAGGCAGGATCTTCACCAAAGGCACTGCTGGTGGAGCTCCCTTCTCAGCGAGGGATTCCCAAGGGAGCTCCTGGAGGTTTTAGGGGAAGGATGAACACTCTGCCCTGCTCTGGATGCATCTGGGGCTCTCTCCCTCTGGAGGTGTGAGTGCTGCTGCTGCCTGGAGGGTTGGGAGGTGCTGCCATGGTCCAGAAGCCCTGCCCTGGCACAGCATCCTGTGTGTGCCACCCCTGTGTCTCCTCCCTGAGGAAAAAACTTTCCCTCTGCAAATCCATGTAAGTTCTGTCTCTGCCGTGTCTGGGTCGTGCTGAGAGGGAGCCACACTTCATTTTGGGGTAATAATGTCCTTTAGGGGGGTTTTTAGCTGGGAGAATTTAGTGGGATGTGCTGGCAGGAGGTTGGGTGTGAATTTAGGGCTCGGATCTTGGCTTGCTGACTGAGTCACTTGTGTGGCTGTTTATGAAATCAGGAGAATTCCTCCTTTACCTCACAGGAAAACAGAGGTGGGGAATTAAGTTTGAGTTGCTCAGATGCTGAAACACCACTTCTGTATAGGTACAAATTCAGGCAGAGGGTTCAAATAATTGTGCTTGAGTTAAAATAATTCCAGGGGTGGGTAAGGCTGGGATTGAGGCACAGATTTGGGTGAGATGTGTGCACATAAGAGACCCCATAATCACTGAAAGGAGACAAAGTTATGCATGAATTACCTTGAATTTCCACCAAATTAACCCCAAATTCATGAGCCTGTCCCTGCTTGATCCAAGGACTTGTTCTTTGTCTGAGGCACCCATCAGGTTTAAGGATGCAAAGTGTGTTTTAATTAAAAATTAAGCTACTGAACCAGAGGAAAAATTAGTCCTTAGACTCAGCCTAGGGTTTCTCTCCTCCTAAGGAGGAGAGAAACTGTTGGAGAGAGGAGAGCATGGAAAGCAAGGTTGGAAATGGAGGAGAGGGAAATGAGAGGTGGTTTACAAGAGATAATAAAAAAACTATTTACACAAAAACCCAAATAAATCAAAATGATTTACATTTACACTGCTGTAAATCCAAATGATTTACACAGAGATCATATCTGATGGAGGAAATGGGGAAGCACAGTTAACTTTAAGATCTCTGTCTTTGATATATCCTGCATCTCATTTTAGTTCCCTAATCTGTGCAGCTCCTAATTCTGCAGTTCCAGGGCTGCTCTGAGCAATCTCATAAAGATTTCTCAAGGAATAGATCAAAATTCACCAGACAGCTTTCAAGGGAATTAGGGGAAAGTTTGCAGCAGAGACAAGTTGAAGAAATTCTGTTGGCTGCTTGAATTTTCCCAGGAAGCTGTGAGGAGAGCAGAAAAGAGGTCAAAGTTTGAAAATGAGTAAATTCCATATTACTGATGTTCTTAGGGCTTGTTTATTCTGCATCTTTCTCCCTCTGTCCTTTTCCCTTTGGCACAGCACTCTGAGCCCCTTTTCCTGCAGAGATCCAGCCCAGATCCGTGGCAGGAGCTGATCCACTGAGCAGCTTTCACCCCTCACAGATGGATCATCTTCAGGGAGGTTTTCAAAACTCTTCTGCCAGGACTTGGAGGCTGCTGAGCTCTCTCAGGCTCCCTGATCAGAGCCCTGGTGCTTTTGCAATCGCTTGGAATTGAGTTGGGATTTGAATCTAGCTCCAAACTCTGAGCCAGCTTGACTTAATATTAAATACAGAGTTTAACCAGACTGCTGGAAGGGTTTTTTTATTTTAAGAAAGATGGTTAATATTTAGATGGTGTCCCTTTTTTGCCCCTCTCACCTCTGGCTGACAAGAGCAGCTTAAGCTCACCTCTGTTCCCCCTGTGTTGTGAGCCTGGCAGAGTCAGTGAACGAAAACACCACGTGCCCTCTGTTCCTCAGATGCCACCACTGTTCTTTTGGGGTTTTTATTGAAAGTTCTGGACTTTTCCTGACTGGTTCTGACTCTTGTGGACTGGTTTAGCTGAGATCAGCCCTCTGTGCTGTGCCTGTCCCTGTGCAGGGGAGGCCTGACAGGCACTCACAGTGATGCTCAGGAGCACGAGGAGGAGGTGCAGAGGTGGTTTAATGCCCCTCTTTTCCCTCCTCTGAGACACTGGGCAGGCTCCTTACCCTCCCTTCCTGTTCCCAAGAGCAGAGGTTTGTTGTGGAGCCACACTTCCCTTCCAGGCTGTGGGTAATGGGCACCCCATCAGCTCTGTGCCCTGGGAACGCTGGAATTCTTGGAATATTATGGTGGAGAAGAGGCTGGGATGTTTTCTGGGGCCTGTAACTTGCATATTTCTGTTATTTTCAATTACTCACACCCAATTTTCATGGGCATGAGTGACCCAAAGGTGTTTCCCTGTGCTCCCTGAGCCTGCAGGTGTGGCTCCCCTGCTTGGCAGTGCCCAGGCTTTGCCCTCACCATGCCCTGCAGTGAGGCAGGTACCAAGTGCAGAGAAGGAGCCGTCCTGAGAGGGGATGTGTGGGCACTCAGCCTGTTTGGGGCTCCCTGAGATGATCTGAAAACGGTCCAGTTGTTTGCCTAATCAAGGGCAAGACCAGGAAAGAGAGACAGAGCCATTGTGGGCTCCTGTTGCAGCACTGGAACTTCAGTCCTGCTCTAAAATTCACTGTCACAGAGTCTGAGAGACCTTAACTGCTCCCAGCCAGAGCTGGGGCTGTCAGAGATGCACAGGAGGGAGGGTTTTGAGAGGGTTTGTTGGGCACAACAGGGAGAGTTTTGGGAGGGTTTGTTTGGCACAGAAGGGAGGGTTTTGGGAGGGTTTGCTGGGCACAGAGGGAGGGTTTTGGGGGGGTTTACAGGGCATTCTGATGTTAGTTCTGTT